CAAGAGACATCACTAAAGTCGCAGATAACCAAACTAGATCAAGGTTTCATTTCGAAAATCTGTAATAATAAGGTTGCCAAATGTTGGGTTTCTGACTATATGATATTCATTTAGGTCGAAACCTACCCTTTTAGTCTTTTAAACAATTATTAAATTGCAAAGAGCTTGTAGCTCAAATTGTTAAACAACATTACCGAAGTTCTAGGTTCGATTTCCCCTCTTTTAATCTCGATTGTAAAACAAAACCCAAAAAAAACCTAGTATTAAATTTATCCATTTGTCACCCTGCAGGTAATAAAATATTAAATTTGAAGTGGTGGATGTGTACAATTTTTGCTTTTTCATATATCCACTACAAAAGAATTGGATTTTACGATCGAATAAAAAAAAGAGAGAAAACAGTAATAAGTATGGGTAGTTTAGTACTTTCCAACAAACAAGATTTTCTGTATCGTTGCCCGCGTTACCGCACACAGAATCACCATGACCATTGGTTATATCTCCTGCACAGCTTTGGGAAAACATCATCAACAGCGAGAGCGAGAGAGATGAAAATGGCGGCCTTGAATATCTTATCTCAGCCGTGGCCACCTGCGCCATCTCTCTCTGTTTCTAATTGTTATTATTCTTTCTGTAATACTAGTAAGTCCATTAGTAGTAATAAGTCACATTCTTTGTCTCATTCTTATCACTTCTCTCTCCTCTCTTCACTCTATGGGTCAAATAGACCAAACCCATCATCTAAGCTCTCTGCAATGCCTACCCATTTCTCAAAGTCTGGTAATTTTTCTATTTCCAGATATAATTTCATTTACTTCTCCATTTACTTTGCTTACTACTCAATGTGAATTTGATTCTTGTTACATACATACTATCTTGCATTTGATAATTGCTTAGGAAGAGTAGGAATCTGATTAAAATAGAAAGAAAAATGGATAAAAAAAAGAATGGGAAATTTGGAGATTTATTAAAGTCTCATGCTTTGTCCCTCATGTGGGATAGCTGAATGGTTAAGGGTCCAATTTCCCATGCTAGGCCTGGTTCAAGCTGCAGTAGGTAGTTGTTCTTGAGTAATTTTAGGAAAAAAAAGTATTATGATTTTAAGGGTTCATAAGAAAACAGGACAAAAGCATTCTAGAAAGTTAAGAAAGATTCTTGCAATATATATTCTTCAGCTTTTCTGGTGCCAGAAGTACTGGTTAACATGTATATAGTTATTTAGATGCAACGTTGAATATTTCTGGTTAAATGGCATCAATGGATTACTCAACAGGATAAGTCCTCCTGACACTTGAGTAACCTAAGAGCAGGCCATAGATATCATAAAATGGGAGCAAAAATAATGAGCACTTGTCAATGAAGTTAAGAAATATCGAAGTCTTGCGGTATCTTTGGAATAAAAACTGTAGTTACTGGAAGCAAATTAGCATGCAATCCATACACTACTAAAAAGCCACTGTTTTCTTTTGGAGGTCATACATAAGACGTTGGCATTTTAGTGAACGGTGTTTGATTGGGGCAGAATTTACTAAAGCCTTATGGATGGATTCCTTCAATTCTTTAGAGCTGTGAGCTTTCTCTTAGGGAGCTTGTTTTACTAATTGCGGTTGGACATTTGTGTTGTCTCCTCATCTCTCCATTTTTTGGGGTCTAGCCTTCTTATTCAAAAATTTATGTATCTTCCATTGGTCGAAAGCTAGTCCTCTTCCTCACGAATGCCATCTCTTTCATGGGTTGAACCGATAACTTGCCCTTGTGAAAAAGGGAGAGGAACCACTTTACTTGAAAGTACTGGTCAACTATTACAAATTCACAACTAAGGCTTATACCTTAGTTACTTGAGGCGGATCAAATTAGCTGCTTTTCTTCGTTTTGTACGACATCAATTCTTTGCCCATGACCGTACGCATGTTATTTACTGTTGTGCTTTCTTTATGCTTACTCAGATATGAGTAAAATCTTTTTATTAAGGCTAAATATCTCTTCTTATTAGATCTAAATATCTTCTCTTAGCCACTTTCTAGCTTATTGATCGCCTGTATGTTGAATAAGAATAACTGATTTGGAAACTTAACTAGCCTTACTGCAGTACTAGTTCTAGGGCTTAGAACTTTTACATTTAGGTCTTGCATTATCTTTAGTTATATTCTAAATCTATTTCCTGTTCTTTTGGTTTCATGGGGATTCTTTTCCTTTAACTTAACAAAAATAGAAGGAAAAAACCCTTTTGTTCATTGGAGATCATGTAGAATATAGATATAGGTTTGCAGATGTATAAACAATGCGAAATATTTTTGATATATAGTAATGGGTCAAGCTGAATAGTCTGAGCATGGTCTATATTGTGGGTGCAATTGGAAGTTAATCACAACAAGACTGCTCTTCACCTCTTTTCTCTTTCAGGGATTCTTCTTGCAGGCAGTGGAGGTTCCTGGATGCAAGACAATTCTATGCATCACAACAGTCCTGCTGGCAGTGAATGTGGGCAGGGCCCATTGTATTCTGTGTTTCCTACAAAGCCTGCACAAGTTTCTTCTGTGCAGGACCTTTTTACCTTTATATGCTCAGGTCCATTGATAAACAAATTGGGTTTTACCCCAGAAGCAGTGGCTGAGTCCATTGACAAATGGTTGGCATATGGGTTGCACCTCTGTCGGCTGTTTCAGCTCAATGAATTGTATCTGACGGAGCCTCAAAAAGTTAGGCTTTATCACTACTATATTCCAGTCTTTTTTTGGTGTGATGATCAGATTTCTCAGCACAGATCCTTGTACAAAGATGGTGAAGATATACCTCCTCTAGTGGTACATCATTTCTACTCCAATTTTCCCTTCTTTTTTTGTACTCTTAAGTTTCTGTATTGGGTTGAATTCTATTGGCATTTGTAAAGGTATATCTGTCTCCAGATTAATGATTGTATCTGTGAAGAGTGATTGCTGCCATCATTTATTTTTTGTTTCATCTTATGGTGCTGATTTTTGGTCTGTGATGCAGATTGGTTTTAGTGCACCACAAGGTTGTGGAAAGACTACACTTGTGTTTGCTCTTGATTATCTTTTCCAAGTTACGGGCCGGTAAGCTATGAGCAACCGATACTCTAGATGATTCGTAACAAGATAAAGGAATTTGGTATTGCTGACAATATGTTCAAATATCAGGAAGTCTGCCTCAATATCCATCGATGACTTTTATTTGACAGCAGAGGGTCAGGTATTGTTTAGGAAATTTGTGGCACATTCTTCTTTATATTTTTTGTTTTCTGATGCGATATTGTATTATTTGTAGGCCAAACTACGAGAAGCAAATCCAGGAAATGCACTTTTAGAGGTAGTGATCAACATATGTTCCAAGTAATTCAACTTAAGATAGTTAACAAGTTGATTGTAACTCATTAGAAAATGAACGTGCTTTCTTATCAATAACACTGTCTATTCTTTTATTTCTCGTGGCTCGTAGTTACGTGGAAATGCAGGGAGTCATGATCTTCCATTCTCTGTTGAAACGCTGTCTGATGTAAGCAAATTGAGTAAAGAAGGTGATTCTCCTTCATTCATTTTCCTCTGCTATAAATGCATGCCTGCTTCATAACTATCCACATCTAAATTGTTCAGGTATGAAGATGAAGCTACCCCGATACGATAAGGTGCACAACAGTGAAAGTTTGCTTTCCTTATTATTTTTTTCCATCAACCAATTTTTAGTTCAAAGTGCCTATTTATAACTTGTTTCCCGTGGCAGTCTGCTTACAATGGAAAGGGTGACAGGGCTGATCCGTCAACATGGCCAGAGTTTGAAGGGCCACTTACAGTAAGTCTGTAAGAGGATTTTCCATAATGTCTGGCAATCAGTGGGCTTAGGTTGATGCAAATTGGGGTCTGATACTGTTGGCCCATGTAGCTACCTGATTATATGAAGATAGATGTTTGAACATATCAAGAATCAAGATCTCACAAATGCTATGTTGAAGTGTTTTTTAGAAGTAATAATAGGGTTTGGATGTGAATCAATAGGCAAACCCAAAGGTAATTAGTTAGGTGGTTTCAGTAGGCTTTGTAGAAAATTCTGGAAAGAGTATTTCACCTCGCAATTTATTTATGTTTTGGCTGGTTATGTAGGTTGTTCTATTTGAAGGTTGGATGCTTGGTTTCAAACCCCTTCCTGTGGAAGTTGTCAAGGCAGTTGATCCACAGGTTAGAGGATTGGAAATATATTGTGGGAACTTGTGCGGCCCCAGTACAAATTTATTAATCATTTTAGTTCTATTAAAGACAGTTACAGCTCTAATGTGAATTTTTCATTAAACAGCTGGAGACAGTAAATAAAAATCTTGAAGCTTATTATGATGCATGGTATAAGTTCATCAAAGCATGGATAATTATCAAGATCAAGGATCCGAGCTGTGTGTACCAGTGGCGTTTGCAGGTGGGGTTTCATGTTTACATCTTCGTGCAACCAAAATGTAGTGTTTTGCTTTTTAATTACTTTTTCTCGTTGTCATTGCTTAATTAACAAGTGTTTCCCTGAACTTGCAGGCAGAGATTGCCATGAGAGAGGCAGGGAAGCCTGGAATGTCCAATGACGAGGTTGCTAGTCTATCTATATTTGTATCTTATAAACTGTCTGCTGAACCAGCAGTAGGTTCCATAACCTGAAACTGATGCTTTCTGAGAGCTTTGTTTTGCAGGTAAAAGATTTTGTTTCACGGTACTTGCCAGCATACAACGCTTACCTTCCCACCCTGTACTCAGAAGGACCAGAAGGGTCGGACCCAAAGCGCCTCATCCTCATAGAAATTGATGAGGAAAGGAACCCTATCCTTGGAAACTAGGTGACTATGAGCCATTAAAGTCCAATTTTGATATATTGGAGATGTCATTTGCATGTTAGAGAAGCATCATGTAATGGGGAAAAATGTAATGTGTAAGCGTAACTTTACTCGAATGAAAAGAATCATATTTCATGATTCACATAATAACTCATGATTTTTCTCATACAATCAATAGCACATATTTTGAAGTATAGAGATCTAAGGGCAGCAACAGCAGACGCCGTTTAAGCAAGGCTCACAAGTCTTATAGCAGCAGCAGCAGCAGAAAAATGCAAACAAACTGCAACATAAAATGCAATCCAATCATAAGTAATGCATAAGATGAAGATTAAGGAGGAAATTGGAAGTGAAGATTAATGATAAACAAACCAAGAATAGAAGCAGCCTTTCTCCTCCTTGCGCTTCTGGACCTGATCACAGCATGACATCCTTTGTGTAGGTGGTGCACCAGCCATTGTTTTTCTATGATAAGAAGCTGTAGAAGAACATTTCAAAGTAACCACGAAATGGTATATATATATATATATATATAGGCAGCAAAGGAAAAAAAGATGGCCTTTGCTTAAAGCTGATACAGTTTTCTCACTGCCCAATTTATTATGGTTGTTAGTAGAGCATAGAAATGGATGAAAGCTTCTTTGTCTTGGCTCTCTTTGATGACCCATGATAATGAATTGTTGCAATTGAATCTCTCTATCTCTCAACCAATTACATAATGGTCCCAGCCATGAGAAACAACTTATGCCATCTGCTGCCACATGGAAGCTTTAAATGTGCAATTAGAGCAGAAATATGTAACTATCAGTATCCAACATGTTTTTCTATTTTCTTTTTTCTTTTTTCTATAAGGTCATAGCGCACTGCATGATGAGTGATAGGTCTCATGAATCTCATGACCCATTCAGTGGCTCCTCATTTTGCAAAACATAAAATCTATTTCCTTTACCCCTTTTTTGGGGATATTCCTTGCCTCCTTCTGGAAAATCACAGTTTGACATATGTAAAAATAATTCATCAAACCCTCAAAAGAAAAAAATTATGCACACATGTCAAACTGACATTGGCAGGAATGTAGGAGTTTCTACTTATGGGAAAGGAGTGAAGTATTTTCTTTTTTTTTCTCGAGGAAATGCAGATTTCTTGTACTTTTCCTGAAAGGCATCTGTGCTTGGGATATTGCTTGCATGTTGCGATTTCTTTCATCTTATAGAAGCAGCTTGGTAATGAAATCTTGTAAAGGGCCCGTTCGGTAACATTTTATGTGGTTGTTTTCATTTTCAGAGAACAAAAATGAGGCAAAAACACGTTCGGTGGCCCAAAAACAGAAAACATTGAGAATGTTTTTATAAAATGAAAACAAGTTCATGTGTACTTGTAGAAAATAGGAAAAAGTTGTTTTCATTCTCATGAGAAACGTTCACATATTATTATTTCAAATTGTACTATCAGACACGTTTTCATTGTTTTTGTTTTATGAAGATGTTTTCTAATTAATATACCAAATGCATTTTCATTTCCTGAAAATGCAAATTTGTTTTCTTGTTTTCATTTTCTAAAAATATTCTAAGAAAACATTCTCCGAAAACGTTACCGAACGGGCCTTTAGCTGCTTTGTGGAACAAAATCTTGTGGTGCGTAGAGCAAAAATGATGCTCTTGGAAAGAGTGGAACAAAATCTTGTGGTGCGTAGAGTGAAAAATGATGCTCTTGGAACAGATTAGGTTATGAAGGATACAAATTGGTCTTTCTTTTCGGTTTACAAGTAAGCCAATGGGTCTCTATTCTGCCCATTTTCCTTCAAGATTTTGGGAATTCAAATCTAATTAGATCCCAGTTGTCAAACGGATGGATATGAGATACGATCTCTAATTGTTGATTGTATTTAGATGTTTTTCTCATTTACACCAAAAGAAAAAAAAGAAGAAGCAAAGAATGGGAATTGAAGAATATATATGGCATCTGAAAGCAATATCAAAACTGAATATGCGACTGAATATGCAGAAAGAAAAATTTGTCTATCATATATCAAACTTACTGTGTATATCTAAATATGGAATCCAAGAAAAACTGTGATGAACCCAAAAATGGGGAGAAAAAGCCTACAACATCAAGTGCATTCAATACCAAAATGGAAAAATGCAACTTATAGAGAATCACAGATCGATCTCTTATTCTTGTCAACTTTTCTATCTAATCAAAACCCCCCAACCATCAAGAAAAAGCCTCTGTACATGCATATATATATTTTTTCATTCATTCATTCATTCAGTCTCTTTATCATATGTAGAAGGCATCTCTTTCAACTTGTGCTTGTGGATATTGGAGGTGTCCTTGGTGCTAATCCAATTGCCTCTGAGCTTTTCATCAACCGGATCCGCTTGCATGATTCCACAAACATTCTGTTCAAAGCCAAAAAAGAAAGGATTGATGTTAAGTAATTATGCACGATCTAGTAAAACATTGAAAAATTAAAATCCTCGGGAATATATATTTGGCCGACAATTTTCTCGTACAAGTACTATGTTGTCATCTTAGGAATAAGAACCATTAACATTTGAATGTGCGGTCTTAATTCACAGTCTAATAACATTTCGGCGAGAGATGGTTAGGGTTTATTCGAAATCTTACTTCCATGGTACATCTCCTACAAGCATCCAATCCCCATCTCTGTCCTCATAAGTTGGTACATACTCCACTCCATTTGCAGGGTCCATGAGCTTTCTCTCATTCAAATAATTACCTACATCAACAGTAAATATCAACCATTAACTCCTGACATGAAAATTATGACAAAGGTTTTTAACTTTTTACAAAGAAGATCAAATCTAGAAGAGATATGATGAGATGAGATACATACGGATGGTCAAGAAGGAGAACATGTCCTCAAGAGTACCCAACAGCTGCTGATAGCTATTGTACATCTCAAGATCCACCTTGCGCAGATATGGAGCTCCATCTACTGCCACTTTCACGTACTTGCACGTCTTCATCAAGTTCTTCCTTGCCACTCTCACTGGCGGCCACCCCACCACTTGTAACCTGAAATATTCACACAGAACTTCCATCAAACACATTGTAAACTTAAAAATCAAAGAAAACCCATTTCAGTTTTCTTGTAATTGTACCAAAAAAACAATGAGGACCATGAAAACTAAGGAAACCCAACTTCAAATTTCATATAATTTTACACAAAAAAACATGTTGACCATCAAACTTCAGTTTTCATATAATTATAGTTTCATATAATTTCATCAAACACATTGTAAACTCAAAAGTTAAAGAAAACCCATTTCAATTCTCACTTAAGCAAAAAATAAATCATGTGGGCAGTCTTACTTTGCTGCTGGAGGCTTATGAGTTTCGGCCCCAACACCATCAGCACAATCTTGATCACAACATTCAACCCCTGATCTTGACGACGATGAGCTTGAGCTCCCAAGACTAAGATCAATGGTCTCTGAAAATCCACGCTTAGACCCCGAGCCAGGCAACCCCAAGGTCAACTTGGTCTCGTCGTAGTTCAAGCCGGCCGGCTGCTGCTGCTCATTTTCCGGTGACATTTTTCGAATGCTTTGCTTTGCTTGTAAATTTGATGGACTAACAACTTTAGCCGGCTCAGCGTGCTTAGCAGCTTATATATAATGTTGAGGGGGAGAGAATGTGGCCGGCAAAATGATTCGGCCAGTGGGTAGATGACACGTGGCTCGGAAAGAGCGGCTGTGATTCGTCCATGTTGGTGGTAGTAGTGTGTGATGGAAGCGTGTGGGTTGTGAACTTGTGATTTCTATGCTTGAATGAAGCTGAAAGCTTGGGGCCCCCCGGTCGGTCCAATTCCGACCTGGTCAATTTTTATTATTTATTGTTTTGTTTATTTTATTTTATTTTATTTATTTTTTAATACTGCTAAGTCATATAATATGCAATACAAATGGCTACTAAGCAGTATAAATGCATTAACGGCGGTAAATAATTCATAGTAAAATATTTGAGTTGCTAGAGTTTTAAGGGCTCGTTTGGGAGTAATTCTTGATAGGCCAGAATCATTTTCGCGAAAAACTACCTCTCATGTGCTTCTCTATATAATCAATTTAAGTGATTTTAAATGGTTCTGGACATAAGCACCACCTATGTGCTTCTCCATAAAACCACTTAAAACCACTTAAAGTGATTATTTGGAGAAGCGATTCTCTATAGAAGTGCTTTTTGGCCTATTTAATATATATGCGCACACATCACTTAAAAGGCTAGTAGTTTAATAAGGTATTTGGTGTGTTCCAATTCATTGAATGAATCGATTATCATAACAAAAGCCTATACCTAGCTAGCATGTGGTAACAAAATGTGTTTTATGTTTTTTAACATTAGCATGAAAAATATATAAAATCAAAGCTATTTTGTCATATAATGTAAGTTAGTGACAAGAAAGAAAAACCAAGCAACCTACTTAAATTTAAGATTGGCTTTACAAAGTTATCTTGTGTGTGTGGACGGGAAGAAAAAAAAAAAAATCAAATGCTTCGATTTTCTTTATTTTGTTGTTGTTATTATTTATTTTTTTTTTGTCTTAAACCATGAGGTGGTCCTGGATGGGCCCCAATTATGGGTGGCACCTTTGAGCCTTAACCACAACCCAGACTAATCCCCACTCACACCGGGTCGGCCCGTAAGGGGTAAAATGTTGGCCAAAGTGGTGACTCTGTACGAGAGCAGGGATCGAACCCCTGACCTCTCTTAAGGAATGAAAGTGCCGAACCACTCACACCAACCACCTTGGTTGTTGTTGTTATTTTAACCAAAGAGACACTTGCGTATGACTGATTGCTTTTGACAACTAATAAAGGTATTCGTGAGTTTTCGGTGGAACGGGGGGATTCCAAACTGGAGGCTTGCTCCATGGCAACTGCAGATGATCACTCGAGACATCAAATTTATTTGTTAACGTTTTAATGTTGTGCAGTTTCGACATATTTTTAGAGAGATGAACTTTGTTGTTGATTGCTTTAATAATATGAAAGGAAGTGTAACCAACTTGACAAGTGTTACATCAAAATATTAAACGGTGGGTGAATGACTAAACGAACAAGGGCTATTCATTTTGTTTTTTTTATCACCATCACCGTCAGGGCATATCCACAACTTATTCATTGATCCGCAAATTCTTGCTCGTTTCTCATTAAAAGTTTCTAAAATAAAAGCTAAAAATAATATTTTCCAAATAAGTAGAAAATGACATAAAACCATATAAATATGGAATCATTGGTTTGATATTGGTTACAATTCATTTGATAGATTCTTTTAATTTTGGCCGGTGCTTTGCAAACATTCCCATGCAATGAAATTCCTATAAAATTTCAAATTCAAAAGGCTTCCAATAATTTATTATATATATTTTTGTTTTTTCTAATTAGCTTAGACAAGAAATATTTTTGCAGCTCAAGGGAAATCTCTCTGCTCCTTCCTTTGTAGAACACAAAAAGACCTACTAACCTAGCTAGAAGATGAAGGAAGCCGTGAAGAGAGAGGAAAGGCAACCCATCAATGCCCGCGTGGGGCCAAGCAGGACCCACATGCCACGGTTCTTGTCTACAGGTCAACTTTATGGAACTTTCCATGTGGGACCCCAAAATGACTTAAACTCGAGAGTTTAGAGCTCTGGGACCCACCTAACATTTTTCATGTGAACGTGTTTGCTTGTCGATATCCGACACGTGTGAAGTTCCACAGTTTTCCGCCCGCGGTTTACAGTTGATAATCGGTTCGCTCCAACCGGGATCTCCGGGCCTCCTGTCTGGCCTTCCCCTTTAGTATCATCTATTTATTTATTCATTTTATTTCAAATAATAAAGAAATTGCCCAACTGTTTGACTTGCACTTAATATTTCTACTAAGAATTTTATTAAATAAAAACTACCAACCTAATATTTAAATCAACAACCACCTATATTGTTTAAGAAGAAAAAGACTTTAAAAAATTAATTTGCACTCTTTTTAAATTATTTTTTTAATAAAAAAATAGCCAAAATTTACCCCCCCACTTTCAAAATGTCAGTTTTTATAAAATCTTTCAAATATAGCCAAAAACTCGCCTAAATAAACACAAATGCCCTTAAAAATTAAAACCCACATAAACTTAAAAAGAAAGCTCATGTACAAACGAGATTCAGAAAGAAAGCTCATGTGCAAACCAGCTATAGATTAAGATCTTCAGAAAACCATTGCGATAAAAGGCGTTGGCTTTGCATGGACCATGACTACTATAATTCATGTTTTTTTCTTTTCCAATAATCAATTCAAAGACTTTATCCTCACATGGGCGAAACCAAAAGCGATGCATCTCTGCTGTATATCATCTCAAATCTACAAAAATCGTGAGGGAAAACATGCTTTAGCTCCCCATCCAGCCTTCAAAGTCCACACAAATGGGTCTTATAGCACTCTGTCTAAAACATCTATTAATAGTAGGTAGCACTCTAAAACATCTTTTATGGCGTCTTATAGCACTCTGAAACATCTACTAACAGTCAACTCTTACCCTCTATCAACATCAACTAAGGACACAATTTCTAACATGCTTTATTCCTCATCTTCAAAAGTTCACATTAGAAAGTTTAAGAAAATTATAAAATTAAATATTCATCCATTGTTCATACTAATAAATAAATTGAAATAGTAAAATATTACAACTATCTATGAGGTAGGATGAAGTGCAATCGGATTCTTGCAAGTTTGTCAATAATGGCAAGTTGAACCACATCTTGAACACTTACGAGTTGATGGTTCTTCTCCGCATGATGGGATTCTCTTTTCCTTGCGCTTGCCGTACCTTTTTCGTGTAATTGGTGGTAGGACAATTCTATTCCGTACGTCATTAGGTACCACCCAATCTGTCTGATCCCCAACTGGTCAAATAGGTTCTGCATACGCAATGACCAATGAGTTTGTAGTATAATATTGTGAACACTTTGGGTAACATGAAATTTGTTGATGCCTACATGCAGCACAAGCATGTGAACATGGTAGTTGGTCAAGATCAAACTCTCGGCATGTGCAACACTTCCTCTCTAAATTTACAACTTCAACACAACATCCATCATATTCACAAAATGAGTAAGCCTCAATAGGGAAACCTGCATATTCAAGAAACAAGAAATAAATTTATAATACTCCGTAATTATTTTATTTGAAATATTTTCAAAAGATATGTAGAATATTATCATGCATATATTCCTTAAATAAAAGAACAAATAAAAATATTAGCAAAAACTACAAAAGAAAATGTTTGCCCACTTTGTCAAATGTTTGCATATATTCCTTACTTGCAACAAAATAAAATTTAATGAATTTGAAATATTTGCAATGACAACCCTTTCTTGTTATTTTCTCGCACCAAATTGTCTGCCCACTCTGTCAAATGTGAATCCATTTTGGCTACCTCAGTTTGACATTCATGGAACCACTTTTGAAGTATATTCATTCTTAAATACTCCATAAAATTGGTAATAGGTAGTTTACGAGCATCTTTGGTGATTGAGTTGAGACATTCGGCAATATTTGTTGTCGTTAGGTTGTAATGTTTCCCATTAAAGTGTGCATGAGCCCACTTTTCATATCCAGCCGCATTAAGATAATCACCCACTTTGGAATCAACATTAAATATTTGCACCATAAGACGATCAAATTCATGAACAAGATATGCTTTAGTAGCTCTATAATACAGCGAATGCGCTCTCTCATGCTTAAAATGGTTCTTAAGATGCAAAATCCTCTGATGCAAGGTCTAAGTGGCATGAAAAAAAATACATAAAATGATTATTACTGTTAGTTTCAATATGAGTTATTTTTGGCTTCTAACATAGCACAATATGATGGAAGTGAAAGATATGCTCTAAGGCTTCACATTCAACAGTGGCAGATGTATATTATTTATAGGAGCCAATTACAAGTAGTGATAATTACACAGAGTCAAAATAGAAGTCTAACTCTATCGAGATAAGCAACAGGGATTTACAAGGAATTATTATGTGATAATGACAAATAAAAAAACTTTAATTGTAGTAGAAAACATGTTTTCCACCAAAGCCTTAAATTTAATAAAAGAAGAGAAAACTTCAGATTTTAATTTCATGGGATAAATCCATGAATAATGAGAAAAATCATCCACAAATAAAACATAGTAGAGAAAACCAGAAACAGATTCAGTAGATGAACACCACACATCAGAGTGAATTAATTGAAGAGGAGCAGTAGAGACAGACTGAGAAGAAGAAAAAGGCAATTTAATACTTTTGCCCAATGGGCATGAATGACAAATAAAATTATGCTGAGTTTTGGAGCCAAGTACAAGCAATTTATTTCTAGAAATTAAAAACTTTAAAATAGGTGAAGACGGGTGCCCCAAACGGGAATGCCAAACATTGCTATCAACACGAGTGCCAACGAACGCAATATGACCCAAGGAAGGGGTTTTATTTGTTGAAAACAAAAAAGGGTAGAGACCGTTCTCACTCTTGCCTCGAAAAAGAATCCTCCCCGTCTCCAAGTCCTGAATGAGAAAATAAGAGGGATAAAAGGTGAGAAAACAACGGTTATCATCACGAGCAAATTTATTAACAGAAATAAGATGACTG